ATAATGGTGGACCTAGGTACAAAGTAAGTTTTCAATCGGATTAAATCAACGAAACCTTTGTGTCAGAATTATTTGATTCCCTTTTGACAATGAACATTTATGGTTACAGCGTTCTCGTTTGGAGAAAAGGATGAACTGCGACATCATTTGGTGCGTTGCAATCCTGTTATTGCTGTGCGTGATAGGTGCAATAGGTTGTCGATTATGGTTGTCGTCCTTTTCATCGAAACTTTTTATCCCTTTTCTTCCGTTGTTACAAGAACCTAATGTCGAGGGTATGATTACATTTTGTACGTTCGTTATAATCCTACAAGTGATGATACCTCTGAGTTTGTACGTAACCATCGAGATGGCCAAAGTCGGACAGATTTATCATATAGGACGCGACAACTTTTTGTACGACAAAGAAACCGATCGGAGAGCTGAATGCCGTGCGTTGAACATCACCGAAGAGTTGGGTCAAGTAAGTTGAAGATATAGAGAGAGAGAGAGAGAGAGAGAAAAAGAAGATCGATTAGAAATAAATCGAGACACGAAGAATTAATATCGGAGTTTGTTAGGTTCAATATATATTTTCGGACAAGACTGGTACATTGACGGAGAACAAGATGTTGTTCAGAAAGTGCGCGGTTGGTGGGCAAGATTATGCGCACGAAGGGGACGGTGAAAATATGATGCCTTGCCCAAGATTAAAAGAGGACTTGCTCATTGGTACTTTTCGGCATCGTTTGCAAGAGTTCCTTATTGTATTGGCAACTTGCAACACCGTTGTGGTTAATTCTCAACCGCATCACGATATTATGAACTCAAGTGGTCTTATAGAGAAACCACAGAAAAATGGAAGCGGACCAACTAGGTTGGTATTTGATATTTTGGTCTTATTGATCTTTTCGGTAATTATTATTATCACGATATTTCATCTTAGGTACGAGAGATTATCCGAATCTAGAAGCGTGACACCGTCGCCATCACCATCGATACCACCCTTGCCGGTGTCTTCTACCCCACCCCCGAGTATCGCGGAAGACAACTCGTCGGCGATCTCATCGATCATCGATTCAGCTGCTGTTCTTAACGATACGCCTAAATTAAAAACTAAAGTTACTAGGTATGCTTTCGTTTCGTTTCGTTTCGTTCGGATGGATAAATGAAAAGGGGGCGGGGTTAAATAATCTAATCTGGGATGATTTGATCGAGAAAACATTTGATTTCAAGGCTGCCCTCGTTTGCAGGCCAAAATTATTGAACATAACATCGATACCGAGCATAGGTTTGGGTTTATTGTCGAGAAAACAATCGCCCAACGGTGGACAGAAAAAGCGTAATCTGTTGAGTCCAATTTTCGATATGAGTGGAAAGTCCGTTGAACAACTGACACCAACACCGGCCATTTACGAAGCTGAAAGTCCCGACGAGTTGGCTTTGGTCAACGCTGCTAGAGCTTACGATGTTAAACTTCTCAAACGTACACCTCGTAATGCTATTATCTCACTGCCAGACAAATCCATTCTCACTTACGAGATTTTATATGTTAGTAAATAATTGTAATTAAAATCAATATCAAGTTTCCATGCATATTTCCCATATACGGGTTCTTCGTATGTGTATTTTAGGTTCTGCCTTTTGACTCCAGCAGAAAGTGTATGTCGGTTGTGGTACGTCATCCGTTGACCAGTGAAATCATTTTGTACAGCAAAGGAGCTGACACAACGGTGTTAGCTTCGTTGATATCGAGCGAAGAAAATTCAATGACGTCGGCTAAAATTAGACAGCAATTAAATTCGTACGCGCGTCAAGGTCTTCGTACATTGGTCATGGCAAGAAGATCTTTGACTCAACAGGAATACGAAACTTGGCGTAAAAAACATTTGGAAGCCGAATTGGCAACCGAAAATCGGGAACGTCGTATTCGAGATTCTTACGCGAGCTTGGAAAATCATATGACGTTGCTTGGGGCAACTGGGATAGAAGATAAATTGCAATCAGGTGTTCCAGAAACTATCGCTGCTCTAGTTAACGCTGGGATCGTTCTTTGGGTTCTAACAGGTTTTTATAAAATACTTTAAATGTGTAACTCACACACAAAATTAGGATAGAATCGATTGAATTTGAAATATTCATTTCTTACCTAACAGGTGACAAGCCCGAAACAGCGGTTAACGTTGCTTACTCGGCACGTTTATTTTCGCCAGCGATGCAATTGTTGCAATTACAAACGAGATCTAAATCGGTCGCGGAAACTTTGATTCACGGATATTTGGAATCGGCTAAAAAAGACAATGCCATAACCGGAGGAGTTCATAATCGTACAGAGGATGGTATAATGATGTACGGATACGAAGTTGCTGAAAGGGATGCACATATGATAGGAAGTCCATGGCCAAGGAAACGTGCACTAGTAGTTGATGGCAAAACGTTGACCGTCATACTTGACCCGAGATCTGGTTTAACAGGTCCGTTCCTTGAATTAACAAGAACCTGTTCCAGTGTACTAGCTTGTCGAGCTACGCCTCTTCAAAAGGTAAAATACATTTACCGCTTCATTGTATTGGTGCATATTTTTTTCTTTAATTTAACATTATCTTTTTTCACAGGCTTATATCGTTCGTATAGTGAAGGAACAACTGGGAATGAGAACATTGGCCATCGGTGATGGTGCTAATGACGTGAGCATGATACAGACAGCCGATGTTGGTGTTGGTATTTCTGGTCAGGAAGGTACACAAGCTGTCATGGCTGCTGATTTTGCTATTTGCAAATTTTCAATGCTAAATAGACTTTTACTCTTGCACGGGCATTGGTGTTACGATAGATTGTCGAGAATGATATTGTATTTTTTTTATAAAAATGCTACTTTCGTATTCCTCATCTTCTGGTTCCAGGTATACATGTGTGAATTTTTATATTATAATTATTATTTTTAAAATTGTGTGATTAGATAATTTCGTTGAACTTTTTCAATTTGTTTTTCATACAGTTTTACTGCGGTTTCTCTGGCACCGTAATGATAGATCAAATTTATCTGATGCTATACAACCTGTTGTTCACATCACTACCTCCACTTGTATTAGGTGTATACGATCGAATAACCACACCAGATGTTTTACTTTCTAATCCGGAACTTTATAAAAGGGGAAGACTGGGTTTAGTTTATCGACCTTTTTCCTTTTGGATCACTATGGCCGATGCCTTCTACGAGAGCATCGTCATATTTTTTATCATCTTCATGGTTAGTACATCGCGCAGTTTAGATTATTAACAAATACATATGAATTTTCTGTAATCGTTATTAATATATTTTTTTCTTAGACTTATTATGATTCAACTATCGATATCTGGGAATTTGGAACGACCATAACTACGGCATGCATTTTTTCAATGCTTTTACATGCATCCATCGAAACGAGATCTTGGGTAATTGTCGATTATTACAATGAAATAAAATTAGAATCTTCGTTGAATGATAATCATAAATGATTCATCAATTTCAGACGATAATTCACGTTGTTGCTATAATGGGATCGCTTTTCACCTTTATGGGATTCTGTTTAATATACAATGCAGTTTGTATAAATTGCATGGGTTTACCAGGTTCATACTGGGTTATGGAAATGGCAATTACAAGGCATACTTATTGGCTTTCTGTGATATTAACATCAGTTCTAACCGCATTACCGAGGTATTTTATAAAATGAATATAATTAGAAAAACAATTGATGAAACAATTTCAAAGTTTGCACATTATCGATTCTATTCTCGTTCGATACGATTCAAGATTGACGTATAGAAGTGCGAGATCGACATTGGTACCTGATATGATACAACATGCAACTGTTGCGGTTTCGAAAACTCAGGGACGTAGACAGCGGATCGCTGAAAGGGCCAATTCCAGTTTTATAACAGGTTGGTCTCGTTCGAGTCAACAAAACACTAACAGGTAATTAGAATTTTACAATTTACAAATGATTTAGATATTAATGAATTATTTGTTTCCTATTTAATATATTATTTTCAACAGCAGGCCAAGAAGTTACGGGAATCCTAACGAAGCATTGACAACCATCGTTGCGTGACAGCACATTTCAAATCGAACCAAGAAGACGAAGACTGCTTATCGCCTTAGGTCGATAATACTGCCAAGACCAAGATTTTTCTTAATCATCAGCAACGTTGATTTTTAAATGCGACCTTTCAAACAATGTCGCATCTACGTTGTTCTCGTTGTTCGAGAGTTTCGACGAATTCTTCAAATTACTTATCGTTGTTGCTGTCAAAACGTTTAGCAGCTTTTCCCGTTGTTGCTATGCATTTCGAATTTTGTTTTCTTGTTTAATTTTCTTTTTAAATTTGTTTTTTTTTTGTTTGTTTGTTTAGCATCATGCTTTTAATTTTAATCGTGGTGGCCTTAAAAAGAAAAAAAAAGAAGAGAAATTTTCTTAGACTCTTTATTCGTTGCATTTCAAGGCTGTGAATTTTTAGGGACCAAGACTGTCTTATAGTCAAATTCTCTTTCTCTCTCTCTCTCTCTCTATCTATCTATCTATCTCTTTCTCTATCTCTCTCTAAAATGTCGATCGGTTTTAACGGGTTGGAAAGAAAAACGTTTTAGTGAAAGTAATCGCTTTGAGTTAGAGTGATAGTGTTAATAGGTAAAGAAATACGGTCGGTCGACATACTTAACAGAAATATTGATAAATAGTTAAAGTGTGCATACATACATATATATATATATACATATATGTAAAGAATTGTTTAAAGACACTTTAAGAAAATGTATATAATATATGTTATGCGTGGATGTATATATTATATACATCATGTGTTTAGTTATTAAATATGCCATTAATTTGTTACTATTGTAATTAAGAAGAAAAATATGCGTGAGAAAGATATATACATATTATATATACATGAATATATATATATATATATATATTATATATGTATATAATATAGAAATATGTTACGTGAGTGTATATAGAAGAAAGAAAGATAAACAAAAACAAAAAAAAAGTAATGTTTTATCATTTATTATAATATTGAGAATGAAGAAAAATAAAAAAAAAAGAATTGTGAACTATTTTATGTTGCCGAGAAATATAATGTGCACGTGCCACTGGCATAGTATTTTGATAAAAATTGTAAAATTCAAGATGGTGGAGAGATCTTGGATATGGAAAAGAGACATAAATACCAAAATACGTTCCTCTGAATAAAATCTTGATCTTTCTTTTTGTTTTCGCTCCCTGTTTTACGGAAAATCCTGTCGTTCCAATCCAAACAAAAAAAAAAAGAAAAAGAGTGAAGAACAATAAGAAATTTATGAGGGGCTGTTTCTGAGAAATACAAAAGCGAATAGGACAAACGTTGTTGGAATATATTCATTGAGAACCACTGTATCATGCGGAAATAAATCGTGGTAGGGATGGAATTGGTTGGTTGAGGAAAAGGGGTGGGTGGGGTTTCCTTTTGGCGTGCCGTTGCTGTCGCTGCTGCAACTATCTTCGATGTTGGACTTCAGTATGCCTTGGCTATTTAGAAAGGAGAGACTATCTCCTACTGAGGTACACACTTACATATATATTGTTAACTCGTGTGTGTGTTTGTGTGTGCATATATATATACGTGTTGGGTTTAAATGCGGCTAAACAGTCGAGTAATATTTTTGTTTCGAGCGTTGTTTCGAAAATGAATAAATATATTAGTGAATAAAACAATTATTGTTTCGTAGTTCGCGTGCAGGTGTGGTGTTGTTTTCACATTTTTTCTCTACGATTTAAGTTTACACATGGCTCAATATATCAGAGTTTTTAAGGAAGGATCTATCGGTTATTTTTCTTAAGTGTTGCCTGTTTTCTCGAGTGCTACTTCTTTGTCCTGTTACTATCGGAAATCTTCTTCGAGAATTCTGTCTGAATTTCGTATTCAGGAATTTGGCTTTTTTTCTTTTCTATTTTATTTTTTTTTCTTCTTTTAAACAAACGAGTTAGTCATTCCCCTATTTATTTCTGTATGTAGGAAGGACAAGATCCTCCGTGGAAATTCTTTTTTAATGAACGTTCAATTATATTATCTTATAAATTTTGTTTTTTCCGCATTACCACACCGGTATCGGAATTATTCTTTCGCAAAACAACACGAATTTGCCAACTAGTAGTAGAAATGTATTATTTTTTCTTTCTTTTTTAACGAGCTATCGGTATTTTTTACTTTTGCTTTTTTATATTTTTCTATGCGTAACAAGATTAGAACGATTAGTTAACAGTCCGCACATGAATCAGCAAATATTGTTTGTGCATTAAACGGATAAGAATCATTTTTTCGAACGCATTTCTAAAAATGTACGAACAACGCACAACGTTAACGTTTTATAAGACATAGAAAGATGAAAATCATTTAGTGGGGTGTAAGGGGGAGGTAATATCAAAACTGAATCGTTTTTACGTTAGCATAGGAAAACAAAAATTAGATTAATAGAATAATAATAAAGCTGATAAACTAGAGTACTCCTTTTTACATTTCTTTTTCTTTTTATCTCGATTTATTATATTTGCATATCGAAGTCACATGTTATTCATATTTACGAAAGACACGTTCATGCTAAGTGCCAAATGCTATATTTGAGTAGCAGAAAAAGAGAGAGAGAGAGAAATATATGTCTCGAGTGTCAAGCACTGTGCGAGTGAGTTTCTTCATCCTTACAATTAGACCTCGGCTAAAGAACATTTGTTCAAATAATACCATGAACGTTTATATATGTATGCATGTATGTATAGATAGTTAGATATATATATTTCGAAAAAAGATCCTGATTAACAGTAGAAACTGAGGAAGGAGTGTTCCCGGTTAGTCAGACGATCGATCGAGACTGATAGTCGCCGTGACTCTGAACACAGGATTATTTCAACAATTTTGTCACGTGTGTTGGATATATATATATATATATACGACCGGTAGTAACACAGTCATACATACATACATTACATTTATAAGAGGAAGAGTAAGTGTACCTATATCAGTGTAGTAATTACGAGATAGCATTTGCTAAGGACTATTTATAAGTTAAACTAAAGCTTAAACTGAGAACAAGACACACGACCTTATTTCTTCTATTATATTATCTTTGACAATAATTATTATTATTATTATTATTACCAAATTTTTCTGGTTTTTTTTTTTTTAATCAAATCACATTTGTAATACTTTCGATAACAGTTGTTCACGCTCTCGCATTCACGAGATAAGAAAAAAAGAAAAAAAAAGGCAGAAAAAGAAATCGTATTAGATAATAACAACGTGAATTATCAAAAGCATATGACAGGATAATATTTTCAAGATTATTTCTGTCATCTTTCTGTCATCGTAGGATATATACGAGTTAAAGTACCATCAGTTTGTTCTCTATCACTTTTTATTTCGTTTATACGTCGACAATTTCATTTACAAAATTTCTTTTTATTCGGATTGTTTGATATATAACTTTTTAACCTTTTACAAGTTTAGCGTGAGTGTGTTACTTGATAAACGAGAGTAAACTTATCGATAAGAGAGAAAAAGTAGGCTTGGGTGGGGTGGAATAATGGATGAGTGTTGGAAGATTAAATAATTCTTCGAATAAATGTGTTTCGTGTGACACTTTTTTTTCATTATTTTTTATTATTCATCGGGAAGAATGTGCGCGAGGATTGAGAGAAAACAAAAATTAATGTTAATCGAGAGTTTCGTGGGAAATTTAGTTGACTGTTGCTTGTTCGTTCAATTTTATTATTTATTTATTATTCATCGTTGTAGTTGATTGTTTTATTAGCTCGAGCTTTGTAGAATCATTTTTTTGCAGGATATAAAAAGGAAACGACTATAATCTTAATTTCCTGTTGGAATAAAAAACTTGATTGTGGGGGGGAAAAGAGAGGGAGTGCATTGCAAGGAACGAACATTGACATTCGATTAATGAACGAACATTGAACACGTATTATTCCTTTGATGAATCATTGGACAACAACGTTGCAGTTTTCCCTTACCACAAGTGGAATGAATGAACATCTATCAGATTATGTTGTTTTCTTTGATCATCATTTGACACAAGGGAAAGAAGAATGTTTTATTAAGTTTATCGTAAGAAAGGAATCATGATCAAATCGTGTTTTCATTTTATTCATTGTCATAAGATTTTAATAAGACAGATATCATATTGCCGAAAAAAGTCGAAGAAGTCGAAAAGATTTTGACAATTTTCTCATTTCGTCTTCTTCCAATCGTTCCCGAATTACACAAATAATTAACAAAAGGTAAACATTTATAATATTCTTTTCAAATTTAGAATTAATTTTTTCTTTTAATATTAATTGTAAATGTGTTAAGACAACAACAAAATTAGATTCGCAAGTTTTTTTGATCGAATTTCTTTTCGGAACGCAAATCCACGTGGATTACTGACGTTATTTTTTTTTTCTTCTTCTCGCAATCGATATTGTTAGTTATAATAATTAATTTGTTAAGATTATACATTTTGCATTAAATTTACCAATTTGTTTTTTGCGCGTATATACATATTTGTCTTTTTTTCTTTTTTCAGGACACATCCATGTGATTTTTTTATTGGATTTAGAAAAAAAAAAGAAATAATAATTGTAGTTTAATTAATCGAATGTGGAAATAATAGTAAAAGACGATGTTTCAATCGATTGGATGATTTTCACTTATGTTAGTATAAACGAATGAATTAAATCGAATTATATAATCCCCAGTGGTGACAGAATAACTGATGCAGTTGAATCGTCGATGCGACCTTCATACTTTTCTCGGCTGTCTTCATCGTAACGAGACTTTTTTTTCTTTCTTTTTAAAACGAAGATGAGTACGCCTCAGGCTAATTGAACGTACACGTAAGAAATTTATGCAAGAGGAAGAGGAAGAGGAAGAAGAAGAAGAAGAAGAAGATATAAAAAAAAGACATAAGGAAGGGAGAAAGAAAAAAAGAAATAAATAAAAGGAAAGAAGGAAGGTGCATTTTATTAAAAAGGAGATGTAAGAAATCCTTTCCACCGATCAAGGTCAATCCTTTGTGAACTCCAGTGATCAGAGAAATGACGGTCACTTATACTGCCGAGGTTGCTACCTGTCGTGGTCTTGGATGTTTTCTTAAATTATTACTCAGGTATTATTAATCATTTCAATATTATTACAATTTTCATGATAAACTAAATAAGATTAATTCAATCACGCGCGGTATTACATTAAACTAGTTTGTCATTTATTATATTTGAAGAAATAATCAGAATTAGGATTAATCCGTTATACGTATATATAGTTAGAAAATCATGTCACGAGATTTTACATCACACGAATTTCTAAGTACTCCTTGCTCATCCGCAAGTTCGTAAGAGTTATGATAATTAATTTCATGGCTATTACACAATGATATTAATTTTAACGAGCGTTAAAACATCATTCTAACTTATCTCTTAAATCATGATAAAACAAAAAGCCCATTGTATTGTCTGTCGTAGTTAAATCACGATTTTTACGTAAATGAAAGAGAGAGAAAGGATAATAGAAAAAAAAATAATACTAATAATAATAATAAAATAGGAAAAAAAAAAAACAATATACAGCATAAGAAAGAGAGATTGTCTATCGTATTTTGTATGGTCGTAACTCCGAAAGACAATAGTACCTTGTCAGTCGTATTTCCAAAGTAAAATCATCTTTAGAATTTTAATGAACGTTAGATCATTGATCTACGAGTCTTTTTTTATCGAAATAGATTTTTTTCTTTTGAGAGAGAGAGGTCTCGCGTAATTGCAGCAAGGGCATCCATAAGTATAAATACGGCCCTGATGACCTAGATTTCATACACGCCTGTTCGATCCAAAAAATGCCTATTATATGTTAAACTAGTATGATAAGGATGAAATATATACATATGCAATATATTTACTTATTCTAACATGACGAGCATGTTTTTTTTTGCTTGCGTGCGTACTACGTGTACGTGGATGATGATACTTATCATATAAAATTGTTTCGAATTTCAAGAAAAACTGTAAAAACGACAGGGACACGCGTGACTGAAATATTGTTCCAATTACATCACGGTGACAAGTTATTACGAATATATTTCTGTATCCAATTTAATAGAAAAATTGCATAGAAACCATTCATACGACAGCGCACGCGTACAAATGCATATACATAGATAACTATTGTGTATATATGTGTGTGTATGTGTGCATATGTTAAATTATATAGCTCGTATTTCTGTTTCGCAAAATAGTCTCAAGTATGATTAACTAAATAGTTAGAAATTTCTGTCATGCTAGTGCAAATATATTATCGCAGATTCCTAGGAACGATCATTGATAAATAATTTTCTTCTTATTTTTCCTTTATTCGACGATAGAAGAATTTTTGTAACTTAAACGATTCGTTATAAGAGTTTGCAACACCATTACAATTTATGAAATTAATTGCATCTCAAACAAAACCGATACGACGACATTTTTCTTTTTTCGGTAAAGATTGATTAACCGTTTCTTTTCTCTTTTCCTTTCTCTTTCCACGACGATAAGATATAATATACTTCAAATTATCGAACATGATTGTGTGTGAGATAATAATCGCAAATGCGATTTTAATTTTTTCAATCTCTAGAAAATATTACTTTTATCTATTATCGATTTAAACGATTTTACAATTAGCTTGATCCCAAGTTCGTAGTTGTATTGAGGAAATACGTATAGGGTGTCTCATTTGGAAAAGTATAACAAACAATTGGAAATATTAAATTGTTATAGTTTAAAATGATGCACTCTGTATATATATATATATAATATTTCTTACAATTAGGTGAAGGAAAACCCTAGTCCTCGCGTTTCATTGATTTTTATTTTCTTTAGATGGAGAGCAAGTATATACAAGTTGGTATGGATAGATTTAGCCCTATTTCTATTCATTTATTATTCCTTATCAAGTATCTACCGATTGATACTGGATGACGATCAGAAGAAAATATTTGAAGCTATAGTAGGTTATTGCAACCAGTACAGCGATTTAATACCGTTGTCATTCGTGTTGGGATTTTACGTTAGTATAGTTATGACAAGATGGTGGAATCAATATATGGTGATACCTTGGCCAGATTCTATTGCAGTATTTGTATCAGCAACTATACACGGTAACGACGAAAGAGGTCGATTAATGCGTCGTACTATAGTCAGGTGATAGCCCTAAATATTTCAGATCGATTGTTTTCCATTTATTTTTAATCCAATTCTCTATTTGACTTACTTTTTAATTTTTTTCCTTTTACAGATACGTTTGCGTTTGTTTGACTTTGGTATTGGCCAACGTGTCGCCAAGGGTCAAAAAACGTTTCCCAACGTTGGAACATTTAGTCGATACAGGATTACTTTTAGAAAACGAACTTTCAGTATTTCAAGGTTTAAACGATAAATTTCCTAAACCCAGCAAACATTGGTTACCCATAGTATGGGCTTCAAGTATTGTTACAAGAGCCAGAAAAGAAGGTAGGATTCGTGATGATTTTGCTGTCAAGACTCTCATCGACGAGCTCAATAAATTTCGTGGTATGTGTGGTAATCTGATACATTATGACACCATCAGCGTTCCTTTGGTTTATACTCAGGTAATAATAAATTGAGATATTACTGACGATAATATTATATACAAAGTGATTATTTATTTCATATCAGAGAAAATATTATCATTGATAGGTCGTTACGTTGGCCGTTTACACGTATTTCTTGACCAGTGTCATGGGCAGACAATGGATCCAAACTTCAAATGCATCGACCATTGACGTGTACTTTCCCGTTTTCACGACACTGCAGTTTTTCTTTTATATGGGCTGGCTCAAGGTCGCTGAAACTTTGATCAATCCTTTCGGCGAGGACGACGATGATTTTGAAGTTAATTGGATCATCGATCGTAACTTACAAGTAAGAACAATGATCGTTGTTATTATATTTTAACAAGATGTTTGTTACACGTACGATATATTTCCTTCGAAGGTGAGTTATCTGATCGTTGATGAGATGCATCACGAACATCCTGAATTGATACGCGATCAGTACTGGGATGAAATATTTCCAACCGAGCTACCATACACTGCGGCATCCCAACCATTCCGCGAGGAACATCCTCAACCGTCTACAGCTGGTATACAATTGTCAGCAGCACAGCAGGAACTTCAACCATCGTCGGTTAGGATCGATGAGATGGCACCGGATTTTCAACAAAAATTTTCACACGAGATTGCCGACGACGCTGCTTCTGGTATACACTTTATTGCCGATGGGAAATTGTCCAGGTAATCAATGTTTTAAAAGTACTTTCGTACAATTTCTAATCAAATAACTTTGAACGCTAACAGAAGTATTACCACTGCTAAAATGCCAAGGTAATAAAGTTAGTCAGTCGGAAGTTATATCTATGAGTCATACCACGGAAGAGGACATAACGGCATTAACGATGGACGTTTATTCTTTTCAGAAGTGCCAGCAGAGTGAGTAATCGTGACCGTACTTTTAGCAGTGGATCAACGCCAAGTAATCTGGGTGGTTCGCTGACCAGGGTCAACAGTGTTACCAGTATGTTGAAGAGATTGTTCAGTAACGTAGACAGAACTGATAGTTCCGCCAGCGGTTCCAAAACACCTGGGAGAATTCCTAATTCCAGTTCTGCAGTATCATTGCAACCTAGAGTCATGGGTAAGATTGATTTTATCGTCGATAATGTTGCATACCATTTTCCTTATAATCGATTTAATGCAATTCAGGTGATACTGGTGGCTCGGCCAGGTTCGGAGTCATCGAAGAAGTCGACGAACAGATGACGATGACATCGATGAGAGCAGAAAATAGGCCCCACGTTCAAACTATTTTTCCACAAGGACCTCCTCCACCTAGTGCACCGGTTGACGTTCCTGATGTCAATCAGTCTAGAAACAGAGACGTCATTTCAAACAGTGCACCGGCTACTGCTTATCCACCTGCTCCTGGTACCAGTGGAATTGGTCATGATTTTGAGAATGGCAATCCTCCTATTGCTAGGTCAATATTGTTCATTTATCAATCACGCTCCATTACGATTTGTCCTTTTTTCGCTGAGTTTTGGATTCGTTGCTGATTTTAGGAGAGAGAGATCAAGCATAAGCTATGAACCTTCGAGGAGTTATCAGAGTACCACGACTGGGGATGGCATCATCAGTCCTAGAAGTTCAATATGCTCGGCGAACAGTAGTTCGGACGACGAGTTCACCAAATTAAAAGTAGAAAGAGAAAATCAGAGGCGGGAAAAAGCATTCAGAAGACTAGCTCGAAGTGTCAGTGGTCATACTAGTATTATTCCATCCGAGGCTAGGAACTTAACGGAGAACGAATTATTATTGTTAACAGAATTAGCAGACGCATCGAGAATGTCATTGGTACCGAAAAGTTCCGACGACAAGGAGGGGAACAATATTACTAGGGTTTAGGTGAACCCTATATTAGTTTTTATATCAATTTCGTGTGTTATTTGTGATAAAGTGTAAGTTATTTTATTAAATGCTATATAATGTGCCAGTTACTATGGTAAACGAAAGTACGGTGGGACAGAAATGAAGAAAGATGGACAAGAAGTTTTTTAATTAACATTCCGATAAAAAGACAAAATACGTAGATTTGAAATTTTTCTTCTATAGGCTTCAGATGATAGACTTTCAGATAGGCTTTCAGATAGGCGTATTAGAGCTACTTAACAATAAATCTAGTAGCTTTTTTCATTTGGCTAATATCATGGCTGTGCATTGATCTACATATACTTAAACGTGTACATACACCATTCAAATTATTGGAAATGATTTTTCACATATATTATAGGACGACAATAATTAAGAACAATCGGTGCCGACTTGTGACTTATTTTTATACGTTCGTGTTTTCCTATTTATCTCAATGGACACTTAAGGATAATTTTCTATAACGAGCAATAATATCTATCGAATTTACACGACATTGTTATATTTTTGTTCCCGTTATTATATTTCTTTTAACTTTATTTCATTTTCATTTGAACGCACAACAAACGAATTACAAAATATCTCGTCAATTTAGATTGGAAAGTGCCTATAACGTGCCTAGGGTTAAATTGGGCACAGGAAATACTCTGACAAAAGGTGCATTTGATATTTTCCGTATCATTGAAACACCGCGTTATGGCCTATTTGAAACGGAGACGATGCTAACGCTTATACATATGCTGTATTTCATATGATGTTTTTTACAATTTCAAGAGAAAATCCTTTCCCTCGACTTTAAGGATAAGACAAACGTTAGGTATGAACATTCCAAAGAAAGTAAGGCCAGAGGGATGGTCGTTTGTATTCTGTCTGGTGCTACCAAAAAGAAAATACTTATCCTTTTTCAGTATTAAATAAAGTAGTAAAATGACGAATGAACATGACTATTTTTTCTCTATTTAATAGTAGAAATACGTTTGACGTGTTGAATTGGGTCGAGTTGCGCAGAAAGTTACCAACCCTAAGATGATTTGAAATCGAATAAATGACTTAACTTACATTTTCGACTATGCAATTGAAATTCTTGTAGCGTGTTTTAGCCAACTTGTGTCATTTAGAGGGTTGATAGATTTCTGTTTAAATCAATCCTATCGTACCCCAATAGTAGTAGAAAACAAAAGAATTAAGGGTAGACGTCAGTAAGTATAAAAGTTGACAATTGCCAAGATGACAAAAAAAGCGCTGCAATCGCTGGTAGATGTCACTGCGGTAACTCGAGAAATGTCGTTAATTTTCGACAAAGTTCGGGTTTGGTCTCGGTGGCGGCTCGGCGGCAGTACCCGTAGTGGGGGTTGATCAGTGGGTTGCCGTCGGCGTGAGGTGGCGGCGGTTTCGTACACGCGAGGTATTCGAGGGGTCGATCGAGACGTGCGCCGGGCGGGTAGAAAAGAGTTTACCGCGCGGTGCCGCGGCCCGTGCTCGTGCTCGTGCTCGTTGGACGACCAAGTAGGAGGATTGTGTATGACAAAAGATAAGAGAGAAAGAAAAGGACCCTGAGTGTGTCGCGCGGAGAGAGTGAGAGATAGAGAAGAGTGAGTGAATGAGTGCAAGTGTTGCTACAAGAGCACGAATAGAAGAAGAGGAAAAAGAAGCCAACAGGAGGAAGAAGAATAGGAAGGTGCAGGAGGAGGCGGTGGAAGAGGAGAAGGTGGAGTCGAAAAAGAAGAGTGCACAACGACCGCGAGAGATAGATTTGAGCATAGTAGTAGTAGAAGGAGTAACAGTGTATAAGTGGGGAGGTTGGAGGAGGGCCACTGCCAAGAAAACAGTAGTGCGTTCCTTGGCAAGATGGCAGACGGTCCGTCCGCAGAAGAGGCCTCTGCTGTTGATGTTCGGATTCTTTCGAAAGAACGACACAAACGACAGGACGCTTCTTCGTCGAGCTCGTTGCTAGCCAATGCGGCGGCGGCGGCCGCGGCCGCGACGCCGTCCTCCTCTTTCAACAGGGGCCAGGACGTTCTTGCTAGACGGAATGTTATTCATGGGGATCCCACCACTGGTGCATTCGACGATGATGACGATGACAATGACGATGATGATGACGATGATGACGACGAAGACGAAGACGAGGACGATTACAACCAAGTGGACACTCGGCCCCGTCGTTACCATCATGACCGTCATAAACATCACCATTATCGCTATCAACAACAACAACAACAACAGAAACAACAGGAAAGGATTGCTAATGAAGGTGCTGTTGGTGTTGGAATTGGTAATCATTTTAATAGTGGTGCTGGTGGTGGTGAAGGTGGTGGTAGTGATGGTGGTGTTGTCGGTGGTAATTGTGCATCCACGATTCGAGGAAAGGAACATAGCAAAGTGTTGTTATACGATGAGGAAGATTATTACGAGGAAGAAGACGAAGATGACGAGGAAGACGACGACGAGGAAGGAGAGGACGGTGATGAGGAAGATGAGGAAGAGGAAGAAGACTATATGGAACAGGAACCAGTAGAAAAACGAAGAGTTAGGTTGGGCTTGAAAAAATCTACGGAGGGCAGCATTGTTACAAGTGTCAGTAGTGTTGGTAATAATAATAATAATAGAAATAGTAATGCCAGTGTTGGTGGACATGTAGGTAATGGTAGTGCTAGTGCTTTGTTGGTAACAACTATGCTCGGTAATACACGGTCGCGATTATTACCCGATGTCGTAGACGTTGCAGTTGATCCGTCGGAATCGGTTGTTGGTGCAAAGCAAATCAAATCGAATTTAAAAGGTAGATCTGATGGGGAGGAAAACAATGACAATAAGAAAAAGGAAATCCAATATCTGCAACAACAACAGCAGCAGCAACAGCAGCAGTTGCAACCGTTGCAACAACAACATCAACATCAACATCAACAACTGGAAGATAAAAAGAAGAGGAGCGAAGAGAAAGATAGAAGAGGAGACGATACCACGAACGATCCTCCTCCCCTTAACACCGTAACCGTCACCGTCACCCCTGCCTCCCCTTCTTCAACAACCGTCACAACGAGCGGCATCGCGAACGGCGTCGTTGCCAGCACCGGCAACAGCAGCAGTAGCAGCAACAGCAGCACCAGCACCAGCACCACCGGAAGTGGCAGCTCCGTTGCCGGCGGCGCGAGCAACATCAAGAGTAGTAGTAGTTGCGCCGGCTCCTTGTCCAACGACAGCCCCTTTAAGGGACAGGTCAGGATGGCCGAAGAGACTCTCGTTGGGCCTTGCGGCAAGAAGCGTTGCGCCGATCGATACGACAGCTCCGAGAGTTCCGACAGGTGAGCGCAGCTCTTTCCTGCAACCCACAAAATGTTATTTGAAAACCTCCCCTCTATATCCCATCCCGCCCCTTCCTTCTCTTCCTCCACCTCCCCTCCGACCTCCCCTTCTTCCTCATTTCCTTCCTTCTCTCTACATAATGTAACAAGTCATTTCGCGAGCATGTCTCATCTCGAGCGTCGAACTTACGCCAGGGGTCGTTGTACCATGTTCCCAGTCAGTCCAAAGACCCAATGCAACCCAGACTTACACGAGTTATGTCTATAAACTCTGTCTAGAAATTTGTATCATCGCTAAAGACATCCATTAGATTGCTACTTAAATATATTCACATTTAATGTATTTCATTTAAAGATTTCAATCGTTTAAATGTCCCCACTAGTCGTTGATGATTCAACGTTAGGTTCCTTCTTTCATTGGGTTCTTGTTTTCAACTTCTTGTTTTTTAGGTGGGTTCGTTTTCGGTAATTCTGTAATTTTCATTTGGAATAGGTTGTAAAGATTCTCTAACCGAGATAAGAATTCTTCTAACCACGCTGACTGTGACTCTTTAACTATGCCAGTGTTACTGTTACTGTTCATCTCTTGGTACGCTGTGACGCGATAACAACCGACAACGTGACAAACTTTGCATTTATTAGTTCCTTTGTTCTTCTTCTTCTTCTTCATCATCATCATCATCATCATCATCATCATCATAATAGTACTTGGTGTTTACGAATAACCATCCCAATATCTTTTCTTCTTATATTACTTTCTTAGAGTTGGAAAGAAAGATTAGAACGATTGATAAAACTTCCTCCTAACGGTTCCCCTTTTCTATTGGCATACTAAACTTCGATCTTTCCATCAATCATCAATTTTTCTTCACATCTTTTATATTAAAATAATTCATTTTTATTCTAGACAAAAATTCTGATTCGTTCAAGTTTTTCTACCGATTTTTCTCTATCATGGATTTCATTTCTATTCATTCCCTACACCTTGGCTATCAGGTTCTTTACCTTTTGATATACGCAAGTAACCGTTCTCTTAACTTTTTCCATGCAAGGATCGTTTATTCCAATACCAAGAAACCAATGTATATAGGATTATATATATTACTTGAAGAGAGTATCGTCTCGTTGCCAGTTGTATCTTTACTTGGAAGAGAGAACCTATCGTGAGGTCAACGTATTTATGTTTGTCTTTCTTTATTTCTTTCTTTATTTATTTTTTTCTTTTTTTTTCTTTCCTTCTATCTTTCTTTCTTACCGACCATAATGTATACATTTTGGCAAGGGAACACGTCGTATCTCACATATAGCTTGTTTTCATTCTATCTTTTTCCCTCTTACCAATTCCAAGAGAAGATAACGAAAAGATATCTCTCGTAACTTTTTCAAAAAAAAGAATTCCTAGGCAAAATCGTTGGAATAAGTAAAATCTTCGGGGGTCGGGGGGAGGGGGAGAGGGCTCGGCTCTCACTACAAAACGATTATAATCTCTCGACACGCGAAGACACAACACACACTTTTATTTAGGAATTGTAAATTCGACTTTAAACAAAAATCTCTTCGATATATATTTTATTCCTAGGTGTCTGAATAGAAAATAGAAAAAGAGAGACAGAGAGAAAGAGAGAGAGAAACTTACACGCGTGCATTCGTGAAAATGTTTCATTCAATCATAATAGGGATAAGAGAACAATTTTGTAAAATGTACACGTATATCTTTTTTTAACACACTTACAACAGTTTTTTTTTTCTTTGTTTTCATCGTACCATATATATGTATACACACATGCAACACAACTAACTTTCTATTCTAACACACATAATATAAGTTTTAGTTCTATTCAGACTCCCTGCATCGATCGAGAGACTCACTTCTGCTTACATCACAAACGATCACGACTTCTGATCAAAGAGGAGATACGTTCTCTCTCTTTCTCTATTTCTTTCTCTTTCTCTTTTAGATACCATGTCTGTCTCTCTGTGTGTGTTTTGATCATGCCAACGTTTATTCGTATTACCGAATTACGACATCGACGATTAATGCAGCGATCGTAAGCACCATGACGAGAAAGAGAGAGAGAGGGAGAGATAAAACCTGAGCATGAGCAGCATACGAAAAATAGAAAGAACCTCCTCTCTTGTTTAGATTTATTTTTCATTATCCATTAGAACAACATTTTTCCAATTTTCTACGAAACGATTTATCTCAACATATTTAACAAACCCAAAAAATCCAACTGCACGAATGATTAATAGAAAAAAATATAGGATTTTCTTTGTTATATAATATTAGATATTATTTATATTTTTTAGAATAGTATTTTTTCTAATTAAATAACGGGGAGAGAACAACAAAATGTTCGTGCAAAAAAAAAGAAAAACATTTTTATTCGCACGAAAGAAAATCATTTCGAGATCATCATCCTGATGTTCGATGTATTCTTCTGTATTATCGATGTATGCATATGTATATATATATATATATATATATATATATTCTAAAGCCTAAAGGCTTTTTCGTAATATTTTCATGCCTGCGAGTCGACGTAGAAGAAGAAGAAGAAGAAGAAGAGGGTTAGGGGGAGGAGGAGGAGGAGGAGGGCTCCTGCTGCGTTTAAGCCCAGGGCCGTCGCTATTTTTCGACCCTCTTTTATCGAACACTCGATATACTGCAACGACGACGGCTTATCGTTTAAGAGTTCGTTAATCCCTCCGAATATTTTTCTCTCTAACTCTCTCAGTTTCTTCTTTTTCTTTTTTTATTCATCAAAAGTAATAATCCGCTAGATTTGTTATTATTTTTCAATCGTCGAATGATTTTGCAATTTTGGTTGGTTGGTTGTCGTATCCCAAAAGTTTTCAAATTCGAGTTCGTTAATTCATTTATTCCAACACCTCTCCCCCCTCTACCCCTCCCCCCAACAACGAGCAGTATAATTTTAGATATAATCGTTCGAAAATTTAGAACGATGAATATCAGAAAAATATTTTTTATCAGTCACATCACACATAGGTATGGGGAAAGATTTTCAAATCGAAATTCAATGGTTTTGGTTTTTTTTTTTGTAACTCCGAACGTGTGGATGGGTGGATGAGCATGTAAGAGTGTTAATATTGAAGAAAAGGATAAGAATAAGAAGAAAAAAGTAAGGAAGAAAGGAAGGAAGGAAGGAAGGAGGAATAATAAAAAGAGAGAATCTGTTTTAACGAGCGTGGAAGGGATCTCAGGCAAGTTCATCCACCGTGACTCGGACGCATCTTGGTTCGATCGACCCAAAGAGTCGACCGACAGTCGCCATCTCTCTTTTCTTCTTCTTCCTCTTTCAAAAAGAAGCAGCTTCTTCTTCTTCTTCTTCTATGGTTACTCTTGTATTTTCATTTGGACACGCCGAGTTTAATTTTTTCTTTTTTTTTTCCACCTAAAAAGCGTCCAATTCATTTGGACGTTTCTTTAACGAGTAATAAACACTTCGGATACGCTCGAAATAATCCTTAAGGAACAAATTTTCGAAAGATTTGACAATAAACAAAAATACCTTGTACTTAAAAGCGTGCGTGGAAACCACCACCCCATTGTAAAGATTTTATCCAATTTACTTTATAACAAATTTTTCTATCTATAAGAAATAAATATTCAAGATATATGTGTGTGTGTGTGTGTTTGTAATGTTAAACTTTCTAAAGAAGGCTTGCAACATCATTAGAAAGATCCCAGTGCAATAAAGTCAATGGGGGGAAAAAAAAGCTTTAAGAGCAAACCTTCGCCTCCGCCTATTTCGTTAAGAAAGATTCATTTTATGAATCCATAGACAATAAAACATTTTTCTAACTCACTTGTAAATCTATTTCTAGTTGTAACACGTAGGCGAGCCAGTAAGTCAGTCAGTCAGGTTCGTTGTTTTATCTTTTGACCTTTTCCACGATTGTTAACTCACAAATTGTAAGCTTATAGCTCTATGCTATAATTATTAATTATCAATGCTTACCATTTTGACCATTACCTATATAAATCTATGAATGCATCTATGTCTATCTCGTAAAATGAAAATTACTGAAGTTAACTTGATTTATTCGTACAGGAATTATCGTGTATTTCATTTTCTTTTTCTTCTTTTTTCTTTCCTGTTTCTTTTTTTCTTTTTTTTGTAGATGTGCGAGGATACCATGAACGATGTTTCGAGTATAAATATGTGTATATGTGTGTGTATGTATGAGAGAGAGAAAGAGAGAAACCGGCAACCTTTACCTTCACTTTGCTTCGCCGGTTGTTCCACTCGTTCCATTCACGAATTTCACTTTCACGGCCACGGCCACGAGGTTTGCGAAGGCCTCGCGAGATCGCCCCCGCTTACTTCTTATACTTTTTCTTCTTCTTCTTCATCTTCTTCTTCTTCTTCGTTTTCGTCTTCTTTCGATTGAGAAGATATTGTCCTCTCTTAAAAAAAAAATCTTATCCGAAATGTTTATGCAATTATGTATGCGTATACCACGTTTTTTAATTATCAATGATGATTATTGTTCAACGTCAGATTAGAAATCATTTTGATAAATTAAACACGTTAGATCAAATTTCAATAAATCATTCAACGATATATTTTTTTTGTCTGAAAAAGCAGATTTCGTTTTTCGAACGAGGAGGGATCAAAACTATAATCATTCATATTCATTTAAAAAATATTGTAGAACAGTTTTTAGGTTGAACTAAGTATTGCTAGATGATATCATCATTTCTTTGTTGAAAAACTATGTCGAATAATTTAGTCTCCTTTTGCAAAACACCGTGGAGATCGTTGGACGAATTAGTGAAAGGAAGAAGATGAAAAAGGACCACCGAGATAATACATCTCTCTCTCTCTCTCTCTCTCTTTCTCTCTCACTCTTGTTTTTTTCTTTTTCTCATTTGATTCTTTTCATCCTATCTTTCATCATAGTCACGGTGCTCCATTTTAGCGAGGAGAGAGAGGCTGCACCTTCGCACGATAACTTCGTCGGTGTTGTATAGA